ATAGTCGTTTAAGTATCTCCCATAGAAAAATATACTTTCTTTTTTTTTCTGGGTTGTTCATAAACTTACTTTGGAACATTATCAAAAAACGGATGTAACAATGAATAGTGTTCGATAAGCGCAATTTTGGAGAAGAAATAGAATCTAGGTGGTATTTCTTGTTAAATAAGGTGACCATATCCCTGACCTAGAAATAGTGAAATTTCTGGCGTTTTTAGGTACTGAAATCTTGAAAAGTAAAACGTGTAGAACAAAAGTAAGCACAAAAATAAAATCCTTGATATTCTGTTTATTCATTGTTACCATTTAAATTTATTCAAATAAAATAATAACTAAAAAAGCGTTTGTAAAACATGCATTTTCTGTTATCATAACCCCACATTTTAAGAATTATTTTCACGTACTTAAAAGTAAACAATTTTATATGTAAGACTAAGCAACATGTGAAGTTATATATAAAAAAGTTTGTATTTTCGTAGATTTCAGTACCTAAAACCTTGATGGTTTGATCGTTTTTTGCATCTGTTTATTCGTTTTACTGCAGCGTCTTTGAAAATACTCAGGTGGCATGACATAACATTCCTATTATTTGATAAGCTTTAGATTATTCAGTTATTAAATGTTTGAAATTATTTGTCTTTGTGGACAACACTAATTAAAGAATATGACGCCCTTAACCATATTGTTATCCTCATTTGTTCAGATTCAATTTTTTAAGAACTACCAAATAAAAGGAACACCCTATATATTATTGTATTTTATAATCTTAGCACCATATTTTCACAAAAAGGTATTGGGTCTCTGAGTTTTCTCGGTGCTAGTTGATGTCTTTTTTATGACCTTTCAATGGACCAAACCTAACTGTCTAAAATATTTGGATACGTACTTTTATACAGGGTGTCCCAGGATAATGTGTACAATGGAAGATGAAGACCACAGATTCGTGGACTCAAAATAGGCAGATTTAGGCTAATTCACCTATATTCAAAATCGCTTCGTTTGGCCGTTAGGTGGCCTCAAAGTTTGTGGAAATTTTTTGAATTTTGTAAATAACTCGAATAAGTATTGTTCGATTTTGATTATTTTTGGGGTGTGGACTTTTGCTTTCAATTTAGACATTTTGGTGTTATACAGTGTTTTTTAAAACTTCCAACCCCTACAAAATTGATGTATGGTGATAATAATTTATAACTTTTTCCTCTTTCGAGCAATAATGACAACTATTTTTTTTTTGATAGGTGATACTATTTGGAAGTTTTTGGGCCTCTTATAGAATTTTGATTAAATGAGCGGTTAAGTTTTAAGTCCAAACTATTTTTTAGCAATGTCAATTCTGGATTTCAGGACAATCAGATCATCAGCATGCCTTGTATTATAATTATGATTGTCATAATTGTGTTTAAGCTCCTTTATGTTACGGTGAATGTTGAGTAATAACTCCAGTATATACAAACAGGGTAATGGAAGAATTTTTAGTTTTTTAAATAATGGCTGACAATGAGTACTTGGAGAAGAATTACGGATAATGCGTATAGCCGATTTTTGCAAGCAGAATATACTCTCTTAAACGACGTTGAATTCCCCTAAAATAAAATCCCGTAAGTCAAGTGGCTATTTATTAGAGAGAAATAAACAGATCTTAGAATATCATGAGGCAAGCAATTTTTAAGTTCACTAAATGAATTATCCGAATCTGCCTATTTTGAGTCCACGAATGGTCTTCCGTTGCACACTTTATTCTGGGACACCCTGTAATGTTTTCTTGGATTATTTATACAAGGATAGTTAATTTGTTTATTCTCTTATATGTATGTGCTACTGTCATTTACCTTTTTAACATATAATAGGTTATATTTACCTACTGCTGGCAAACCTACGCCGCAATAGTATTCGTCATGTAGAATAGTGTATCAATTAAAGATTTATAAATATTTTTGTATACGATTGTACGTGGTCAATAACTTCTTAATATGCTAGGCTAGGAAATCTTCCAATTTTGCTGAATTACTTAATACAGGTAAGTCATCGAAATTGTATATTAAAAAATTCATTCAAAATAATAACTTCATGAAACTATATATCAATTTTAAGGTAGCCCTTTAAGGTAGTTTTTCAAAAAAGTATATTCATTACACTGATCTAAAAGTATTTTTTTAAATACTTTTCCCTTATTAGAAAATAATTTTACCTATTTATTCCGTTGCTGAAATTGATTTTACCAAGTGCGCTGCCACTTTACGCTCGAAATTAATATCTGGGCTCAGGGCACAGCTGTTTATTGTTGTGCTGGGATAGCAGACAGATGCAAAACAATCAACGAATTAAGGGCCCTAGGGTCCGCGCTTTCTACGGGGGTGCCGCTTCCATCATGATGATATATGGCTAGGCTAAATAGAAGAGGGTGTCGTAACGGTTTTGCCACCCCAAAATCAATATCGACACAATACAGATAACCGACGTAGCCGTATAGCACGGTAATGTAACGATTCTCGCAAAATCATATTCTAAATTAATAACCATGATATACAGGGTGAGCCGGTTTCGGATTCGTTTTTCTGCCATTGCCATCTCGTATCCACAAGAGATGCGAACTAGGTTAAACTAGAAAAAAATAGCATTTATTTATTTATCAAATACCATCATACTCAAATGTTACTCAAGCTTGTACGACAATTTATTGCTGCGGTGCCCAAGTCGTAAAAAGTATTTAATTTAGTTGCAAATTTCGAAAAAAAAAGCAGGCAGCATTTAAAAAAATATCTGAGTTGGTTGAGTATCCAATTACCTCTACCAACAAAAAAAATATGGCATAAAACAAAAGACTGCTTAAGGTGTACTTAGCCACCTCTATGATTTATGCGAAACATAAGTCATATTCATATCGACTACCCCAAAAACTACACACAATTTTCATTTGAAATTACACTTGAAGTGTTCCTTTCGTTTCCGAACACCCTGTATATCACAAAAACAACAAACATTAATTAACACACATAGTATATGGACAAATAAAGGCAATAGAGAGAGACACACAAAGTACACATTTGATACCTATAGAATAGAAGATAACATTAATTTACAATTTTTGGTTTCTTTAGTGTTTGTGTAAATCTCAAAATTTTGAGTTTTAGGTAAGTTAAATATGTTATACTCTTGAAGACGAAACAAAAATATATTATTTATGCCCTTCAATACAAAATAAATGATCAACATTTTTAAATTTTCTTAAAGAATATGAACTTTTTATTTTGTGTAATAGAATATTGCCTCAAAAATAAGTAATCCACTGTACTCAGTTGTTAACTATTAGAAAGTATGTAAAAAGGAGGAACAAATACTATTCTTTATCATTAATTTTTCTAAAAAGCTGATAAAAGGTTTCCATTTTTTTTTTGTGGGCAATAAATTACTTTTTAGCTGAATTGTATGGTTTTAGTCTAGACCGAAATCTACGAAGATAGATTTTATCTGGTTTTCAGTGTAATATTGTCTCATGATTATAAAAAAATATGAGAAATAGAAAGTGTCTTATGTATAAATAAGTTATCTATATTTTTCATTTTTGGACTGAAATAGTTGGTAAGGACCGGCATTAGAACAATATGCCCCAACAACTTTTTTTATTACAAATAATTTTTTTTGTCATATAAATTTATATTTATACACAAAACATAGAAAGAAATAAGAAAAGTGTTACTTTATAAAAAAAAAATATAATAATTTCATGGTATTTGCGATGGATACATAAGAAGAAATTATTACCAACCATTTCTATAAAAAAAAATACCTAAACCGAGACCTAAAACTTATAGATGTCTATAAAATACCCTGCATTTCCCATGTTTGCCTATCTTTCTAAGGCTAGTTAACTACACTTCCCACTAAGAAAATAAAAGTTTGTTTCGTAGTATTTAAAAAAAATCGTTATATTAAAAAAATTAGGCACGTGATTTTTACCACGCGAAAATGCCAAGTAAGTTTTTTTACTATGCAAAGCACTCGGCAAAACAGTAAATTTGATGATTTGGCCCACATACTCCACAAAAATATTTACATATGTAGATACACAAAGTTATCTACGACAATAAAATCGTTTACAGAAGTCTATTCACGAACATCTTTCAATAACAGTGCTTTCATTAATAAAAAATAAGAGTTAATATAGATAATTTTTCTTATCTGCAATACAACCATTGAGGAAATGATATGATCTTGGTATTGATGCGAATTTCTATAGCAAACATGTTGATGCAGAAAAAAGGAAAAACAAATTTTAATTGGTTTGTAAAATTAAATGGGTCAACTACCCCAGAACAGATTAGTATAATTGAAGGCCAATAGTAAAATTTCGTATGAGGCCGAGATAGTAAAATAAGTAACTATTAATTGCACGAAAAATGCAGTTTCAAATATGACGCTTGTAAAATACAAATACGAGAAACAATTATATCCTATGAATCATGACTACACATACTAATGGTGTATTATTCATTACAATTGTAAATGCAATTATAATTGTATATCTGTGCAAAACTGCAAATCAATATTCTGGCACGAGTCGGATTTGCCAAAATACCTATATGATTTTAAATTCAACTAAATTTTAGCTATTTGTAAATAAATTCCAGTGATATTTAGCACCTTGTGGGTAGATATGTAATCAAATGTGTAAGATACTACTTTATAAAATCACGCTGTGCAGACTGCATGTTATTCATTTAGTTCAAAATAATCTATGAGGACTTACTTACGGTGATGCTACACGAACGCTATTGACGACTTGACACAGTTTTGCTGACAAATCTGCCTACGCAGTTATCTCTAGATACACAACAACTAAAAAACCACTTATAACAATAATGGTTCAGATAAAGCTTTAACAAAGTCACAAATATTTACACAGCCATCTTTATAAATCGTGACGCGAAAAGACGGCATACTTTCTAAACTGATGGTACGAAACAACGTTTGGAGGATAAAAAAAAATGTGCAAAACTTACCGGTGATGAGGCTTTGTGGCTTTTGATTTTGGTTTCGGGCTTTGTGAGTTGGTTTCGGAGGAGATTTCATTTCCTCCTCCTCAATCATTCTTACTGGAGTAGGTCTGATTACTTCCCCAGGTTCTCCGTATAGTTCCTCTTGGATGTCATCCTCTGGACTTGGACGTGTCTTTACCGGGCGCACAGTCTTTTGCGGTGTAGCTGGTCTCCACTGATACTGACCATTCGGATCCAAGGTTTGCTCCCGTTTAAAGTCAAAGTTCCACTTTTCGGACTGTATCACCGCAATTTTTGACAACTCCTCTTGAACAAATTTTTTTGTCGCGATGTCGTCGGACGGCCCGAAAAGCACTCTTTTAACTTTACGGACTTCTCTATTATTATATAAAAACATACTATTTGGCATTCTGGAGCAGAGCGTCAGTCCTAGTGGATTGTGAATACTTATACTCATTTTTGCAGTCTTTTTTAAATATAAATCTTGTTTATGTTCAAGTTATGCAACCAAATGTACACTGTGAAATAGCCACGCGCTAAAATTTATTCACTATTATAAAGCGGTAACTGCACTATTATTCGGAAGTTCCTTACTCTAGTTCTCGTTTTAAGTTGTATTCTAAATCTATCAATGGTCACCGTCTTTTTCAGATGAAAAAAATGTCTTTTGACACTTTCAAACCAGACACATACGCACTATACGGCGGAGAAATCGCGACTGAGGCAAGAAAATATGACAAACAAGCGCAAAGCGTACGCGAGCTGGGACGCCAATCGTTGTGGACTTAGCGGAGGACGCGAGGAGAGACGAATGCATTGGTTAGGTCCAATCTTTGAAATAAGGGGAGTCCGTATAAGTTTCAAAGTGAACCGTTTGCCTTGAATTTGTACACCAATTTTAAATTTAAAATAATTCCACTGATTAAAAATTAAGTACAACGCAATGCCTAGTTTAACAGAATTTATTTTAACAATATTATTATTTGCGACAAGTTTAATAGTAAATACGTATAAAAGGTTGCCATAAAGAAAGTTGAAGTTTATAGGTTGGTAGGTAACTGTGTATGTATGTTTACAAATGCACTTTCACTTTGCCACCATAATTTCATGTTCATGTTGTTAAAAGATAGGTAAGTAGGTATAAGAAAGAATGAATTTATGTCCATATGAACGTCCTTACCTATCTACCTATTTAAGAATTGATTGTATATCTCATCTACTCTTTAAATTAAGAAGTTTTGCAAATTGTAATCATAGTCAGGTACAAACGTTATACCTAATTAGAAATACTTAATAGGTATCCTTCTATTTAACTAAGTAGATGCCTAGGCATAGGAAAAAATCATACAAAAATTAAAATCTCATCGAATTTTTCTTCTTCTTCTTCTTGCAAACAAAAACTGGATAGGTATAGGTAGACCTACGATGCACAAAATAGACGCTTTTCGATGGGTAGCATTCAATGTTTTTGCTCGATTTTTCCTTGTCTCTTGCTTACAATTAGACATGTACCGGGCATTAGGTATTAAAGCTAATATTTTTCAAAAATCCTCAGAAAAGTCTATATAGACACTCCTTTGAAATCTATAAATTTTTAATTTACTACCTACCCTACCAATTTAACAATAATTTTTTTTGTTGCAGGAAAGCTACAGCTTTTTTATTGCAGCTTATTTATAATGATAGGGCAACGGATAAAAAAATATTGGTATTGTTTCTGAATGTAAGATATGTATCTAATTACCTAATTATTATAATCTCAACTTGACGCAACTACGCAACCTTGAACTGGATTCCTCTAATTAAGCATTAAACAATTTATGATAATTAAAGCATTACTTCTCGGAATTGGAATAAAGTTATACATCCTGCTAAACGATGTTCTAAAAAACTTTTCAGGAAGTTGGATACTTAGACGGGTGGTGAATGCAGTGAATGTAGTAGGTAATTATTGTTTACGATCGACAAAGATTTTAAAAGATTTTTATGACAAATAAAGATAAGTGGGTACCTACCTACATACAGTTTTGTTACATACAAAATTATGGTGGATATTGCTACTATTATAATGCTAGGTAAGTAGGGATTTATTAACATTTACTAAAATTGCAGTATGAATGAGCCACGAAAAGAAACAACATTTCATTCCTCGATGACTAAAAAAACAAGTTCAGAAAAAACATTATTTTGCAAATGAAGATCTTTAGATTCTCTGTCTGGTACTTCTAATTCCAGAGTATACTCTTGACTATTTTGAACAAAATCAGCTAAATAAGATTGTTTTTTAAATAATAATGTCATCATAACATTAATTAAAACACTAAATTTTTATGAAACTTTCCCACCATTAAATTTAATTACTTACATCAAATAGACAAAATTTAAAACATTTTTATATAAATTTTTCTTCTTTCTACTTGAAATGTTTAACTGTAGGTACGCCAACCAAATTAACAGAAAACTTGAAGGGTCGTTACTGAATCGTGACTAGATTGAAAGATGTGGTTTATCGATTATATGCATGAGAACCTTTATACATACAGAAAAAATCATTTATTTTGACCGTTTATCTTACACCTTTCGTTTATGGGAAAAGACATTGGCAAGATCATTTGTTGAAGGACACAAAATTTTTATTGTACCAGTTATTTTTTTATAAAAACGAAGTGTTTCAGTTCGACTGAAGAAACAAAAAAGAAGAAAATTATTCATAATCTTCGGCTGAAAGTAGGCCATTTGAGGGGTAGAGTTGTGCAGTGAAAATTATTTTGATTGCAGCACCAAAACCAATAAACCAGTTTAGTAAATTTCAAGAGCTGTCAATATTTTTCCTTATAGTTAAACATTTGATAGGACCATGAATCATGATTGATAGATCTACTTAAAAGAATTATTATTATCTAAAAAAAATACAAGAAGTAATTTCGATGTTTACATACAACTTATGATTTCCCAATATTTCCACATTTTTTTAAGTTATCGTCAGTTGATAAATTAGTGCATCGTTTTCAAAATTCTAGACAAAGTTTAATATCCAAAATCTATTTTTATGGTCTTAATACAAGACTTATTGGATTTGGATTATGTAAGTACTCTGCAGCCCATTTTCTAAAGTATCTCGCGTTTTTTCTAGAGAAATATTCAAGTCAAAACAGATTTTTGATATATTTTATTAACACGTTATATTATGTTTGTTATATTTTTATCTTAGAAAGTAACAAGTTTTGCCTAACCCACCGAATATATGATTTTTTTAGAAAACACAGAGTACACTACATGTTCTTAAAATTACTTTATCACATTTCCCATAAATAAACAAATTAAAATAATCCTCATTAGTATAATTTAAACGATCCCCAGGCATTTTTATTTAAATTTTCGGCAAAAACTATTCAGACAAAACAATAACTTGCCAACTAACTTGACAAATGTCATGTTATTTCAATTGTTTCTGGTCATGGCCAATTTGACAACAGGTCTGATACGAGAAAAAGTGCCCAAAAGATAGAAAATTGCAAATATCTCTAAAAGTAGTAACGGTAACCTAACAATGCTTATATGGCTTGAAAGGAAATTTCAATCTGCATACGACAGACTAAAAATACAGGGTGTTCCATGTAAGTTAACAAAGTTATAGCTGTTTGAAGTTATCAAAATGTAACAGCAAAAACGAAACACCTAGTATTAAAACTTTGAATTTGTTGATATACCATAATACCATACCATAATTTAACGTTACCTATGCCCTTTACAGGCACCAAAAATCCGCTTGATATCACGCTCCTGAAAAGAGTTACTAGCATCTCCGCGGACCCTTGCATCTGTCACTTTTTTTCTTTAAAAATTAATGTCTCAAAACCTATAACTCTAGGTATAGAGAATATTTATTATATAAAGTGGCCCTATAAAGTAGAATCCGAAATTGCAATAATATGTAGGGTGTCCCATTTAAAAAAAAAAAACAGGTTGGTGTCTATATCCGGAAGTGCAGGAGAGTTCTAGATATTTTAGTTGTGTTCTCCCTAGGGATATTGCCATGTTGCCAAATTTTCAAATTTTTCGGAGCAGCACTTTCCTAGATCTCGATCGACGCAGTTCCCGGCGGGACACCCTGTATATTTTTACAATGTTTACATACAGTACTTATAATTTTATAAGAACTGAAATATATATCCAATCATAAATTGGAAAGTATTAGAAATTGTCAAAGTAATTATGTCACGATGTGTTCAATCAAATGATCATAAATCATAATCAGCTACTGACTAACATAATCTTGTTTATCTATGTATTAACATGTTGACATTATACATAGGTATAAATTAATATCTGTGGAAACAAAATACTTGTAATTCTTATAATTGTCAGTAATGGCAATAGTTTTGTTTGTAACTATTTTAGAGTCAAATGTGAAAGGCCTATTACCTTTTTATATACGAGGTCTATTTAGAAAATAACCGAACTCTGTTTTTTTAAACTTTTTTATAAATTTTATACATTATTGGTCCTTATCTTCTTTAAAGTATTCCCCTTCAAAAAGTTCGGTTATTTTCTGAATAGACATCGTATATCTTCTAAACCAAGCATTTTTAAAAACAAAAATTATTCCTAGGTTATTTACCGCGTCCTTAATTTTTGTTATACACCTTATATATTTTTTTGCAAATTTAAATTATTTGTTATTATTGCCTCTATCACATAAAGGACAGATATAAATCAGATCATAAACTGGGGTATCATTAGAAAAAGCATACTTAACATTAATTGGCTTTGGAACCGTAAACAAACCCATAATTTATTTAAATACAGGTGTCGTTTATAACTACGGAGGTTCACCGAAATAAAAAATTTATTCATATCGCTCACAACTATCAAATGTAAAGATTATAGATATTTACGTGAATCGAGAGTGGTGTAAATGGGCGTTATGGACTGGAATAGGGGTACAAGTGTTGTAAACTATATATTTTCCATTATTAGCTGTTGTATTTTTACTTTTATTTAAAGACATTAAGCTAATTCGAATTAATTTTAAAATTGGTCTATACATCTTAAATCATACATATTATTAAAATTTTTAATCCCTACATACCGTATAAATTTGTAACACTTATCCATTAACCCCCTATACAAGATGTGGCGTGTATAATCTATAAAAATCAAACTACAGCTTCCTAACGATATTTGTAATAGAAATGTCTTATACGAAATAGTTCTATTTTTGCGTTTTTTTTTTTCGTAAATTAAAGTTCAATTATAGATCAAAATATTTTCTCTGGAACGCTCCTGTCCGTGAAAGATAGAAATATACTTCTCAATTTTTGTGGAATTTTTCAACACAAAAGTACAATCTAAGAAAAATAGATATTAAAAAAAATTTATATTTTCTTATTATAATAATTAATAGTAATTACTATCTTAAATGTATTGTTGTTACTACAAGAGTTCGCAAACAAAACCACATCCGTAAACATCTGTAGTTGCCAACTGCTTGCACTAAACAAACTCCATTAAAATATGGAACAAAATGAAATAACCATTTCTACCATTTCTAGAGAAAATGTTGAAGTTGATCCCCATTAGCGCGAGTACAGGCATGGCACCGACCAATGATTTCAAGTCGGGTGACCGAGGTGGCCACGGCACAGAACCAAAGCGTCTAATCGCTGATGAAACATTTCATTCAAAAGTGTCGTTACTTCTCGAGTACTGTGTGGAGGAGTCCCATCTTGAAGATAAAACTTGGGTGCCC